ACCCTACCCCCTAAGCCCTAAACCCCAAGACTCAAAACCCCAAAACCCCAAACCCTAAACCCCAAAACCACTAAACCCCAAAACCCTAAAACCCTAAACCCACTACTCCTCTCCTCCGCTGGACTGGGTGACTCGTGGCATCCAGGAGCTGTGGATTTTCTCATATAGGCAGTTCTCTAAATTGGGGTGCCCTTTAGGATCCAGAAGGGTTTCCATCAGGGTACTAGAAGGGTTCGATTTGGGTAGTTCTCTAAATTCGGGTGCCTTTTTAGGGTCCTGTTTATAAGGGTGCCGTACTATATTGGGAACCGAAAGGGGGACTCTAATTTAGAGAACTCCCCATATTTTCCTCATCGATCAAAATCTTTTAATCAGAGACAGTGCTTACACTGAGGGTTCAAGGCTGGCTGCATCCGAAGACAAGCCTCACGTCGCGAATCGGAATTGGCGCCCGACAGCCCTTGAGTACCAAAGCTCTGAAGACCAACAGCGCTGAAGCCTATATCCCCGAAACGCTCCAACCCTAGCGCCGAAAGCCCAAACCCTAGGAATTATAGGGTTTAGGGATCAGGATTCCTATAAGGTCCTTCAAAGGGATCTTTAATAAGGGTTTCTACAAGTTCCTTAAAAGGGATCTTTCAGGGTTCCTACAAGTTCCTGTAAAGGGATCTAGCAGATTCCTGTACGTCTACACCAAGCAACCTGAGTGGAAGCTCCCAGGTTACAAAGGCATAGAGTGAACAGTAAGCAAAGCGTGAGACTCTCTGCGAGTGCATTCCGTTTTAGGGGCCTCGAACCCTAAACTTAAACCCTAAAGCGCAAAACCCCACAATTTAGCTCTCCAATATTGTCTAATCTCGTCTCTGGGCCTAGAACCCTACACCCCTAAACCCCAGAATTAAGCTCTCTAGTATTCTCGAACCCCGTCTGAAATTTGACAGCCTTGAGAGCAAGCACAAGGATCTGCTGCTTCACCTGCGAGGCTTACTGTAGGGGCCGTAATAATTAGGGTTTAGGGTTTAGGGTTTAGGGTTTAGGGTGTTTGAGGGGTGGGGGGAAATTTTCGTTATATCATAAATATCAGGGATTATGAAGGCAAATGAGCAATATTGATTAGTACATATTCCGACCCCCATATTACATAGTTAAGTATGTTCAGTGACTGGAAGCACACTTTCAGCATTTGGGAGTTGCAGACAATCAAGAACCCCATGTAGTCCCAAAGTGAAACAACGATAAACGGAGCCATAATGTACAGAAACTCATGTTGCATTTGTTGCGGACTTGTGAGGCCGGAATGATTCAGGTGCTGGACAGGTAGAAACGTGGGACATAGTTGAAACGGCAAATTTTAATTTCGGAAGATTTGATCTTCAACTTCATATCTAAGATAAGGCGTAGAACATGTTTAATTCATTTTCCGCGATGCTAAAATGACGGATTCGGGGCAAAACTGCTGGTGGCAGTTTAGTCGAAACTTCCGCTAAAATACTTTCGAAGCTGCTTCCAAACTGATTCACTCTGCGTAGCAGCTTTAAGGGACCAAAAACGAAACTGCTCCTAAACTGCTCTTCGCTTTGGGCTGAGTCTTAATAAACAAATATACAGAATACACAAGATGTACAGCACAATGCTCTTTCATGTCACCGAAACTTGTGTAGCAGTTTCGGCCGGGAACCCAAGCAGTTTAGAAGCAGTTTCAGTAGCAGTTTCGTTTCGGCAAATCAATTTTGACGGCAACTTTCGCAGATGAGTTCAACTCTCGGTTTGACTTTGCGGGGACACCCTTTTTAAGTATGAAGTCAACTCAAAAGACATCAATTTTGCCTTCGAAATTAATTTTCTTAGCTAAGGCGCGTCTTAACTGTTATTCCGTAAAGAACACATCTTTTCTTACAAAAAGATATACGCAGCTTTCGTGCCTTAGCTGGTCTTATAGGCAAACATGCTAAACCCTGCTTGTGTTGAAGAACTCAAGTTGAGCAATCAATCAGTGGGCACCTGCATATATATATATATATATGTATATATACATATATATATATGTATGTATGTATGTATGTATGTATGCATGCATGTATGTATGTGCATACCTGCCTGCATGCAAACGTGCATAGATCACATTACTTACATACCTACCTACCCACCGACTCACCACCTACCTACCTACCTACCTGCCTGCCTGCCTGCCTACCTACCTACCTACCTACCTACCTACCTACCTGCCTTCCTACCTACCTACCTACCTACCTACCTACCTACCTACCTACCTACCTACCTACCTACCTACCCCAACCTACCGTCCTCTTACCTTCCTTCTGACCAACCTATCTACCGACCCACCTGCCTGCCTGCC